CCACTGTATTGTTGTATATCATTGAGTTGTGTTCTTTGAAGAAAAGGTCAGCTGACATTATTATTCCCTAGACTTTCAGGTGTTCCTTTTGTTTTATTTGACAATCCTCTGGAGTTTTGTATGCAGTGTCCCTTTTGAGTTCATCCTTTCCATACCTAAGAAGCTGGATTTTATCACCACTGAATGTCATATTGTTCTCTACTGCCCAATGGAAAAACAATGCTTATATCTTCCTGCATTTTTTCAGTGTCTTCAACTGAGCTGACTTTCATGCTTATTTTAGTGTCATCTGCAAATGATACAAAACTGTGATGGGTGTTTTATCCATGACTGCTATAAGGATAAGAAACAACAGAAGTACCAGGACAGTTTCCTGGGGGACTGAGGGTTTTTTTCTCTGTTTTGTGTGTTAGAAACAGGAAAATCCATCTACTTATCTTCCCTGTAATGCCTATTTATTTATTTACTTATTTATTTATTTTATGTCTTTGCAAACAGTACATTGAGATTTTATATTTACAATAGTGGGTTGCAATGCAAAGAGAGCCTCTATTATGCCTAGGCATTATGGGCCAACTTAACATTATTGGCTTACAGACTACTTAACACTGAATTTTATCATAGTTGTACAGTAGGACAGTAATTATTTTGTAGTTGAACAGTAGATTATTAATTATAAGTGAATTAAATTTGCATAAGACAAAGGATATATTCATATAGTCTAAAATGCTTTCTGTGAAAACAATGGTTCAATTATACTCCTGTCAACAATCCTGAGTACAATTGCTTCATAATGACATTTGTTAAATGCCTTTGCAAAATCTATGTATATAACATCTGCATTTTGATTTTTTTCCAACACTTCCATAATTCTGTCTTAATGGTTCAACAGCCATGACAGGCATGATCGACCAGTTCTAAAATCATGCTGGTTTGAACTGCGCAGTTCCATGAAGTACAGTGCCTGTACACTGAAGGATGGATGGGGATGTTGTAGTCTTGAAAGTAGGAAGTACAGTGCCTGTACTCTGAAGGATGAGTGGTTATGTTATAGTTTTGGAGGTGGGAAGTACAGTGCCTGTCCTCTGAAGGATGGGTGGGTATGTTGTAGTTCTGGGGGTGGGAAGTACAGTGCCTGTACTCTGAAGAATGAGTGGTTATGTTATAGTTTTGGAGGTGGGAAGTACAGTGCCTGTCCTCTGAAGGATGGGTGGGTATGTTGTAGTTCTGGGGGTGGGAAGTACAGTGCCTGTACTCTGAAGGATGGGTGGGGATGTTGTAGTCCTGGAGGTGGGAAGTACAGTGCCTGTACTCTGATGGATGAGTGGTTATGTTATAGTTTTGGAGGTGGGAAGTACAGTGCCTGTCCTCTGAAGGATGGGTGGGTATATTGTAGTTCTGGGGGTGGGAAGTACAGTGCTGTACTCTGAAGGATGGGTGGGTATGTTGCAGTTCTGGAGATGGGAAGTACAGTGCCTGTACTCTGATGGATGAGTGGTTATGTTATAGTTTTGGAGGTGGGAAGTACAGTGCCTGTCCTCTGAAGGATGGGTGGGTATGTTGTGGTTCTGGGGGTGGGAAGTACAGTGCCTGTACTCTGAAGGATGGGTGGGTATGTTGCAGTTCTGGAGATGGGAAGTACAGTGACTGTACTCTGAAGGATAGAGGAGAATGTTGGAAGTCAGTGGAACTTTGAACAGTGATGTTCATGAGTTTCTTGCTTGAAGTGCATGGTTTCACATAAGGACTCTTAACAACATGCTTTATTGGAGAAGGCTGATACAGATACTCAAAAACCCAGGAAAAAGGAATTAATGTACAATTAATGTGGATTCCAACAGAGTGAATTACTCCTTCATGGCTGACAAGTTATAAATAACAAAAAAGGCACAATACCGTGACTGGAACGATACACAAATAACCTGCACATAAAAGAGAGAATATAACTTTGGTATGTCTGTGTTTAGCATTAAAAGTAATATTAGAGAGAAGTAAATAATGAAACTATGTTATAAGAATGCAGTTGGAAGCCTGTGTAGCTCTATCACTCACTATGATAACGTGAATGTAGCTAAGTACAGTACACTGATGGAGAAACTTGCAATGTGAACAGACTGGCTGATATGTATAGTAGCCAGGCTTGGTTACAAGTACTTCTGGCATACACACAATTAACCCTTTCAGGGTTGGTGCCACACTAGTACGGCTTGCACGCCAGGGTTGGTGCCGTACTAGTACGCATAAATTCTAGCACCTTCAAATCTAGCGAGAGAAAGCTGGTAGGCCTACATATGAAAGAATGGGTCTATGTGGTCAGTGTGCACAGTATAAAAAAAAAACCTGCAGCACACAGTACATAATGAGAAAAAAAAAAACTCTGACCGTGTTTTTGCTTTAAAACAGCGGCTTTGCAGTGTATTTTCGTATGCTATTTATGGTTGTATTTTAGTTTTTCTGGTCTCATTTTATAGAATGGAAGACATATTACAGAAATTGAGATGATTTTGATTGGTTTCACAATGAAAAGTACCTTGAAATTGAGCTCAGAGTAGCAGAAATGTTCGATTTTTGCCAAAGTTCAAAAGTAAACAAATCATGCCACGCGTCCAATACACGTCAACTGGTGAGTCTAATATTCTTTTGCAAGTGCGCTGATGTTATTTATACAATTTTTACACTAATGCAGTAGTCTGCATAACAGTAAATCTTCTATTTTTTTGTGAGAATAAAAATTCAAAGTGGAAAGCAAAACAAATGTAAGAGGGGCTTGGGGACATGACTAATGAACAGAGAAAATGTTATTTTAGTGCCAGGAATGTCTGTCTTGTTTATTCTAGACCCTATTTGGAAATTGGCATCTTTTGAAATTTGTGTGAAATTGGCAAAATTGCCAATTTATGACCACTTTATTGGATAGTTGAAATCAGTAAACGGGTGGTTTCTTGTACTCAATTGATAGAAAAAATGGACCTCTAGGGAAATAGTTATGATTTTTGTAGACTGGTACATTGGAATTGGTCGAAAACAGGGCTCAAAGTGGGCGAAATCGCTGATGCGTAAACTTCATCGAGACCGCTAACTTCATGAGAGCATAATTCCATGAGTTTTCCATCAAATTTCATACTTTTGGTGTCATTATGATTGGAAAAAGATTTTCTATCATTTCATAAGAAAAAATAATTTTTTTTTTCGAAAAATTTTCGACCCTGAGAACAAGTTTCGGAGAGGGCTTGTCAACCCTGAAAGGGTTAATGTTCTTTATTGCCCACTTACTGAGAAATATAGAGACTAACAATATAATAACCTATGTGATATGTCAAAATATCATATTAACTCTTTCACTGTCAACAGCCCTCATCAGTGTTAAAAAATATTCAAAAACAACAACAAAAAAAAAAAAATTATTTTTTTTACCAAAATCTTAAGAATATTTTTCCGAGTGTTTTAAAAGAAAAAAAATTACAATCAGTAGTTACTGAGATACAGAGGTGTGAAGTTGACAGAAAGTGAACCGCTTACGGCAACATCGGCAACTGCCTCTCACTTGGTAATATTATTTTTACTTTCATTCTACTTTTTCTTTTCTAATATTTTATTTTTTCAAGTAACTTTTGTGGCCTGTGATACCAATATAATGCATAATGTATATATATCTACTCATATGCAACACAATAATGGCACAAACATTATCATTATATTGTTTACAAAACTTGTTTACACAAACCCACACTGCCTTCCCCACCCACACCATTTTCCCCACCACCTATGCTGCCTTCTTCAATACCCACACTGTCTTCCCCACCACCCATGCTGGAAATAAGTCACTTTGACTTTTTTGGGTTATCCTAGGTTCTCTACACATGCTGCTACATATTATAATCTATGTAACTGTATTCATGTATACCTGAATAAACTTACTTACACACCATCTTCCCAACCACCCACACCATCTTCCCCACCATCCATGCTGTCTTCCCCATCATCCAAGCTGCCTTCCTCATCACCCAAGCTGCCTTCCCCAACACCCAAGCTGCCTTCCCTTTTCACTATCTGTATCTGGTATCCTGGGCATTGCTTTTGGTCACAAACTCCTCAGAACCATGAAATTCATCTTCACTGACACTTCCATCTGTGTTAGAACTATCACTTGGGAAGAGGAGAGTCCCAAATTCGCCAGGGAGTGAGATATGTCTTACCGTGAGGCATGGTAAACAAGGATTACTGAAATGGCATTCCCACAATGCAATGCGGGTGCCATGATTTTTTTTTTATACTGCACACGCTGACCATGCAGACCCATTCTCTCACATGTAGGTCTACCAGCTTTCTCCTGCTAGATTTGAAGCTGCTAGAATTTTAGCATATTAATACATCAACACTGGCTCACAAGCCATACCCATATGGCACCGACAGTGAAAGGGTTAAAGAAAACAAGATGACAGATAATATTAAGCAAATTTCCTAAATCTTCTTGCAACAGGTAAGTCAACTGTATATATAAATCCAGATGTACTCCTGCTAACCCTTTTTGGGCCTAGTTTTTGGGCTTTTTGTGTAATGTATCCATATACCCTTGTGCTGCTTTCCACAAGATGGATATAGTGAGCACAATAAATTGGCTGCTTCAACAACAAAATCTAAAATCTACCTTGCTTGATGGATGTTGTAAAATCTGAAGAGTTCAATGAGTGCCTTTCTGGTGCATGGAGAAAAGTGAACCAGTACTGAGAGGATGTCTACCTGGTGCATGGAGAAAAGCGAACCAGTACTGAGAGGCTGTCTACCTGGTGCATGGAGAAAAGCGAACCAGTACTGAGAGGCTGTCTACCTGGTGCATGGAGAAAAGTGAACCAGTACTGAGAGGCTGTCTACCTGGTGCATAGAGAAGGGTGAACTAGTACAGGGAGGCTGTCTACCTGGTGTATGGAGAAGGGTGAACTAGTACATGGAGGCTGTCTACCTGGTGCATGGGGAAGGGTAAACCAGTACTGGGGGGCTGTCTACCTGGTGCATGGAGAAGGGTAAACCAGTACAGGGAGGCTGTCTACCTGGTGCATGGGGAAGGATGAACTAGTATAGAGAGGCTGTCTACCTGGATCTTGGGGAAAACTGAATCAGTGCTGGGAGATTTGGTGTGGTGCAACATTCCTGGTGCATGGGAAATAGTGAACCAGTACCAGTAGGTCTAGTGTGGTGCAACATACCTGGTGCATGGGGAATGGTGAACCAATACCGGGAGGCTTGGTGTGGGCCTTGGTGTGGTGCAACAGAATGTTAGGAGTCTCCATCACATCCTCACAAGCATCCAAGAGTTTCTGGTGCAGCAAGAGACGTGTGAACACTGCAGAGTGCATCTGAAGACCATGGATGGACTTCACTTCCTGCTGAAACAAAAAAAAAATCATATTTACTAGAAGGCCATAATTTCCAAATTAGTACAGTGGAACCTTGAAAATCGAACGTACCAAATATCGAACGTTTCGAAAATAAGACCACTTTTTCGGACAAACTGAGTACCAAAAATTGAATGCGTTTCAAATTTCGGACCGCTGGGTACGGGACCTGTCCACTGGCCCGCTCTGTGAGCAGTCTAGCTTTGTTTATGCTTGAGTGAACACTAACCTGCGCTCTCATTCAAACATTTTACGATTATTTCCTTGTGTTTAGTGGTTGTGGGACTGTGAAATAAGCTGCCATGGGCCCAAAGAAACTTGCTAGTGGTACCCCTGTGGTAAAGAAAGTGAGAAACACCATAGATGTGAAGAAGGAAATAATACAGAAGTATGAGAGTGGTGTGAGACTTGTTGAGCTTGCCAGGATGTATGGGAAAAACAAGTCGACCATCGGTTCTATCCTGGCAAAGAAAGAACAAATCAAGGAAGCTGATGTTGCGAAAGGTGTTAATATGCTAACCAAAAAAAGACCACAAATAGTTGAAGAGGTTGAGAAGTTGTTGCTGGTGTGGATCAAGGATAAAGAGATTGCAGGTGATAGTGTTTCAGAGACTATTATTTGCGAAAAGGCAAGGAAGTTGCATGCCGAATCTGGTAAAGAAAACTCCTGGAACCAGTGCTAATAGTGAATTTAAGGCCAGTAGAGGCTGGTTTGAGAGAATTAAGAAGCGTAGTGGCATACACAATGTTGTAAGACATGGTGAGGCAGCCAGTTCAGAGAAACGAGCAGCTGAGAAGTTTGTACAGGAGTTTAAGGGGTACATAGACAGTGAAGAATTCAAACCTGAACAAGTGTTTAATTGTGACGAAACAGGCTTGTTTTGGAAGAAAATGCCAAAAAGGACCTTTATCACACAGGAGGAAAAGGCACTGCCAGGACACAAGCCTATGAAAGACAGGCTTACTCTTTTGTTCTGTGCAAATGCTAGTGGTGATTTTGAAGTGAAGTCTTTACTTGTGTATCATTCAGAAAATCCCAGAGTGTTTAAGAAAAACAATGTCTTTAAGAACAAGTTATGTGTCTTGTGGAAAGCTAATCATAAGGCATGGGTCACAAGACAAATTTTCAAAGAGTGGGTCAATGAAGTGTTTGGCCCCAGTGTGAAAAAATACCTCCAGGAAAAGAAATAGCCACTCAAGTGCCTCCTGTTAATGGACAATGCTCCTGCTCATCCTCCAAATTTATTAGACCTCTTGTCTAAGGACTTCAGTTTTATAAAAGTGAAGTTCTTGCCTCCTAACACCACTCCTCTCCTCCAGCCCATGGACCAGCAGGTCATTTCTAACTTCAAAAACTCTACACAAAAGCAGTGTTTGAAAAGTGCTTTGAAGTGACCACAGACACTAAGTTGACCCTAAGAGAGTTCTGGAGGAATCACTTCAGCATCTACAACTCCATAAGCCTTATAGGTAAGGCTTGGGAGGGAGTGACTTCCAGGACTTTGAACTCTGCTTGGAGACAATTGTGGCCAGATTGTGTCCAAAAGAGGGATTTTGAAGGGTTTGAGGCTGACCCTGACCCAGCTCACCCTCTGCCTGTTGTGGACTCGATTGTGGCATTGGGGAACACCCTGGGGTTGGAGGTGAGTGGTGAGGATGTGGAAGAGTTGGTGGAGGACCACAGGGAAGAGCTAACCACTGAAGAGCTGCAAGAGCTTCATCTGGAGCAGTATCAGACCACAGCTGAGGAACTTGCTTCAGAGGAGGAGGAAGAGGTAGTGGATGAGGTGCCTTCTTCAAAGATTAAGGAGATTTGTGCCAAGTGGAATGATGTCCAAATGTTTGTGCAGAAGTACCACACTGAGCAAGCTGAAACAAGCCATCTTTGCAACAAGTTCAGTGACAGGACCATGTCCCATTTTAGGGAAATGTTAAAGAGACACCAGAAACAGAGGACTGTGGACAGTTATTTTGTGAGACAGGGGTCCAGTGACTCTCAAGCTGGTCCTAGTGGCATTAACCCTTTGAGGGTTTCGGACGTACTAGTACGGCTTACGACCCAGGGTTTTTGACGTACTAGTACGCCTAAATTCTAGCGCCCTCAAATCTAGTGGGAGAAAGCTGGTAGGCCTTCATATGAAAGAATGGGTCTATGTGGTCAGTGTGCACAGTCTAAAAAAAATCCTGCAGCACACAGTGCATAATGAGAAAAAAAAAACTTTGACCATTTTTTTCGAATAAAACAGCGACTTTGCACTGTATTTTCGTATGGTATTTATTGTTGTATTCTAGTTTTCTTGGTCTCATTTTATAGAATGGAAGACATATTACAGAAATTGAGATGACTTTGACTGGTTTTACAATGAAAGGTACCTTGAAACTGAGCTCAAAGTAGCAGAAATCTTCGATTTTTACCAAATTTCAAAAGTAAACAAATCGTGCCAAGCATGCAATACACGTCAACTGGTGACCTGGAGTTTACCTGGAGAGAGTTTCGGGGGTCAACGCCCCCGCGGCCCGGTCTGTGACCAGGCCTCCTGGTGGATCAGCGCCTGATCAACCAGGCTGTTGCTGCTGGCTGCACGCAAACCAACGTACGAGCCACAGCCCGGCTGATCAGGAACTGCCTTTAGGTGCTTGTCCAGTGCCAGCTTGAAGACTGCCAGGGGTCTGTTGGTAATCCCCCTTATGTGTGCTGGGAGGCAGTTGAACAGTCTCGGTCCCCTGACACTTATTGTATGGTCTCTTAACGTGCTAGTGACACCCCTGCTTTTCATTGGGGGGATGGTGAGTCTAATATTCTTTCACAAGTGCACCAATAATATTTATACCATTTTTTACACTAATACAGTAGTCTGCATAACAGTAAATCTTATATTTTTTGTGAGAATAAAAATTCAAAGTGGAAAGCAAAAGAATATAACAGGGGCCTTGAGACGTGACTAATGACCAGAGGAAATGTCATTTTAGTGCCAGGAATGTCTTTCTTGTTTATTCTGGACCCTATTCGGAAATTGGCATCTTTTGAAATTTGTGTGAAATTGGCAAAATTGCTAAATTCTGACCACTGTACTGGATAGTTGAATTTCATAAATGGGTGGTTTCTTGCACCCATTCGATAGAAAAAATGGAGTTCTAGCGAAATATTCATGATTTTTGTCGACTAGTACAGTGGAATTGGCCGAAAATGGGGCTCAAAGTGGACAAAATCGCCGATGCGTAAACATCGCCGAGACCGCTAACTTTGCGAGAGCATAATTCCGTAAGTTTTCCATCAAATTTCAAACTTTTGGTGTCCTTATGATCGGGAAAAGATTCTCTATCTTTTCATAAGAGAAAATAATTTTTTTTTTTTTTTAAATTTTGCCGACCCTGAGAACGAGTTTCGGAGAGGGCCTGTCGACCCTCAAAGGGTTAAAAGACAGAGAAGGGAAGTAACCCCAGAGAGGGCTTTACCTGAAGTCCTTATGGAGGGGGATTCTCCTTCCAAACACTAACCCCAACTCCCTCTCTCCTCCTCCCTATCTTCCAGATGCCATCACCAATCTTCAATAAAGGTAAGTAAAAATATTATTTTGTATTTTATATTATATGTATGTATTATTTTATATGTATGTTATTTTATATGTATGTAAAACTGTAATTAATCTCTATAAAATGCATTTTTTGTGTGAATATTTTTGGGTTTCTGGAACGGATTAATTGTATTTCCATTATTTCTTATGGGAAATATTGATTTGAGTTTCAGACTTTTCGAAATTAGAACTAGCTCCTGGAACGGATTAAGTTCGATTTTTGAGGTTCCACTGTAGTTGCTAATATGATTAATCATTTCCTAAAATTGTATATTTATTGATTAGTTACAAGTTTTATTTTTTTTTTTTTTAACACTGAGATAGGGTGACCTAAAAAAACAAGAAACATTTTTACCATCACTCACTCCATAACTATCTTGCCAGAAGGGCACTGATACTACAGTCCAAAACAGCAAATATCTCCACCCCTCCTTCAGAGTGCAGGCACTGTACTTACCATCACCAGGACTCAAGTCCGTATGACCGGTTTCCCTGAATTCCTTCATACATGTTACCTTGCTCACACCCCAACAGCATATGTCATAAAAACTACTTGCTTTCACTCTCTAATACACTCACACATGTTTGCTGGAGGTCTAAGTCCTTCACACACAAAACCTCCTTTACCCCCTCCCTCCAACCTTTCCTAGGATGACCCCTACCATGCCTTCCCTCTACTACTGATTTATACGCCATCCAAGTCATCCTACTTTTGTTCCATTGTCTTTAAATGTCCAAACTACCTCATCAACCCCTTTTCAGACCTCTGGATACCTTCAGTAACCTCGCACCTCCTCCTAATCTCGAAGCTATGAATTCTCTGCATAATATTCACACCATACATTGCCCTAGACATGACATCACTGCCTCTAGCCTTCTCCCTGTTGCTATGTTTAAAATCCATGCTCCACACCCATATAAGAATGTTGGTACCACTATACACTCACATATTCCCCATCTCGCCTCCATGGATAACGTTCTTTGTCTCCACAGATGCTTCAATGCACAACTCACTTTTTTCCCCCCTCATTGATTCTATGGTTCACCTTGTCTTTCACAGACCCATCTGCTGACAAGTCCGCTCTTAAATATGTGAATACATTCACTTCCTCCATATTCTCTCCCTCCAATCTGATATTCAGTCTTTCATTGTTTACATTTTTTTACTACCCTCATCCCCTTGCTCTTTGCTCTGTTCACTTTTAATTTTTTTTTTTTTTTCAACAAGTTGGCCGTCTCCCACTGAGGCAGGGTGACCCAAAAAAGAAAGAAAATCCCCAAAAAGAAAATACTTTCATCATCATTCAACACTTTCACCACACTCGCACATTATCACTGTTTTTGCAGAGGTGCTCAGAATACAACAGTCTAGAAGCATACACATATAAAGATACACAACATATCCCTCCAAAC